GATAACAGGGCGAATGCCAAGATCCCTGACCAACTGCCAAGGATCAGAGTTCCTTGATGTTGGTAAAAACTCCATTGTTGATTCTTTTCCCTTTTGGCTGGGAGAGCTACATGACCTTTTCGTACTAGTCCTAAGAACAAATCTATTGCATGGTACATTTCTTAATCTGAAGGAGAAGGAGAACTTGACTACCAACCATTTTCAGAATCTGCAAATCATTGATCTTGCACAGAACAACTTTGATGGGGCTTTGCCTGAGAATCTGTTTAAGAACTCGAGGCCGATGACCAATCCCACAATAATAGGTGACTCCACATTAGCTGCTGACATACCAAGGACAGAGTCGGTTTACCAAGTTATGGTTGAAATTGCAATGAAAGAGGTGTACATCGACGTGCCTAAGGTCCTGCTCGACTTGGTGGTAATTGACCTATCAGAAAACCGATTCAGTGGCCTCATCCCTGAGAAATATGGCAACCTGACGGCACTGCATGTGCTCAACATGTCGCATAATGCCCTGACTGGAGAGATCCCACATGAACTCAGCTACCTCACTCGCCTTGAGTCGCTCGATCTGTCATGGAACATGCTCTCCGGGGAAATTCCACCAGAGCTGGCGATCTCTTTGACATCCCTTGAGTGGTTAAACCTATCATACAACAATCTGAGCGGGAGGATACCATCAGGTCCGCAATTCTCGACTTTTCCAAGTAGCACTTTTCAGGGCAACAAAAGACTGTATGGCTGTCCGCTCCCTGTGCAATGCAACCTGATGACAGGTCCACCGCCATCGAAGGCTCCAGCAACGACATCGGTGCCTCCTTCCTCGGTGTCCAAATCCAAGAGTGACAAGTTTGAGGTCATCGTGCTGTTTCTTTTCATTGGGTCAGGGGTTGGTGTGGGCTTTGCAGCGACCATTGTTGTACTGAGGCAGATCTCTAACCAGGGTAGATGGTGGCACAAAAGTAGCTTCTCATATCTGCAGTGAAATGGTATATATCTGTTGCGTAACAGGTGTGTATGTGTATTGATGTACTACTAGGGTACTGTACTTGAGACTCGGCTGATTACTGTGGTGTGATTTGTTTTTATCATGTACTACTGGTTTTCATCTTCATGCTGAGTTGGAAGAATTAATAAAATCACACCTTCAGCTTCAGGGATGCATCTTAATCTTTTCATATCAGAACATATGCGTAAGTTTTTGCCTGCCATTGTTCTTTTCTCTCTATAGCATCAAAGTCGCAGATACCAGTAGTTAAAACATCCAATGGTGACAGCACAGCATGGGCGGTTAAAATGGTCATATAACATCATATGGAATCATGGGACACAGTATGAATAAACAAAGCACGTCTTATTTGGAATCCCCAACAGTTTTTGAACATAAGTGTAGCACCCCAATTATTTACTTAACTGGAGGCTACCAAACAACTCCTAACAAACTGGCAAGACAGGGAATCATTGAAAATTTCAACAGAGTTTCCCCTGTAAACTTGAGAGCTGAAACAAGCATTGCATACGATAAAACAAAATATCAACAGATATAAGTAGGAAACAAAGCATCACAACCTATCCCAGCAACGAAAAAAAAACGTCCACAACACCATCTAAAAATAAAACAAGGTGAAAGCAACTAAAATTAAGTTCATACAATGTAAATTCTAGTTTAGTGAACTACACATCTGAAGGTTAAACAAGTGTGTGATCAAGATGAAGATGCTACTCCCACTTTCCATACATGTCGCGATCATTTGATACCTAAAAATCAAATAAACAAGACTCGGCAAGTACAATCAAAACCGGAAGAATAAATACAACACATGGATATATGAACAAAGGTTAATCCAATTGTCAATGAAGCAGTAGTTTCCTAAGCATTTACCGGTAAAGCCGAGCAAGTGGGGGCCAACACTTGCTCATAGGAACATTAATATGAGAACCAAATTGCACATTGGGATCCACCGGAACATGAATGGAGTATAAAGAAAATTTGAAACAGTAACTTGAATATAAAAAACAAACTGCATACCCGGATCCACCGGAGCATGAATTGAACATAAAGGCACACTTGAAGCATGAATCACATGGAACACGAACATAGAACAAAAAAACAATTGAACCAATTCACAACTCAAACGATAGGCACAAAGACTGCACACAAGTCCATCATGCACTTGTCTTAACCTTGCCGAAAACCCGGCATCACACCCTAACCTATGGAGCAAAACTACCTTAGGAACTAGTCCACATTGATCCCAATCTGTTCAATGAATAATCGAGTAAATCTCTCGCTCAAACCCTAAATCGTGGGATTGTCACATTTTCTAAAATCTGAACAAATTTTTGTCCAGTTTCATTGTTTTTGTTTGTTTTTACTCCTCTTAACCATATATAGCAAATAAATACACCTAGCATGTATACATAATTTTTCTACGACATTTGTTGAGGTGACTAGGACCAATTCTTGATCTAACCATGTCGAAAAAAGATGAACAGATTTCTGGGTACCTTTCCTATTACTGGATAGTGGCACCGTTTCAAGCATCTCTTACACCCTTTATCGGATTCGATTAAAATCAGCGCCATTGGAAAGATAGAAAAGAGGCAACAACTTTTGTTTCAGGGAGAAGTAGAAATTCTTCACCAATAATTCTAGAAATTGGTCAAATAAATCAACTTAATTCACGTGTACTCTAAAATCGATCTAGTTATTCTCCAATCAACTCTATTGGGAAATTTATGCATCTGGAAACAAATTAGTGATTACCTTAAGCAAAGATCAGAAATTTGTCAAGTAAATTTGGTGAATTTTGCAATGCACTACACCTTTCCCCTCCTCTGTTCTCTTCCCTTCGCCCAGCTAATCAACCGCACGTGGCAGGACACCTTCGGGCAGTGCGATGCGTTGTCTCCTTTCCCTGATCAGGAGCTTGAAGGTCACAGGAGGGAGGCGATAGAGGGGAAAGAAGCGGAGGCAATGGAGGACAAAGGACGGCCGGGACATCGTCTCTCGCGGTCGGATGAAGACACCGCAGTGTCGTAAATGCATGTTTCACATGTTTCAACCGTTTGACAACTATCTTGCAATTGTTTTCATTTTGATATTGTAAAAATAGATAAGAGATGTTGTACATATTACATATGTTGTAAGGGCTTGTTTAGTTTCAAAAACTTTTCCCAAAAAATGTTATAGTAGCCATTACATCGAATCTTGCGATACGTGCATGAAACATTAAATGTAGAGGAAAAAAAAACTAATTGCACAGTTTGGTTGGAAATTACGAGACGAACGTTTTAAGCCTAATTAGTCCATAATTGAACACTAGTTGCCAAATAAAAACGAAAATGCTACAGTAGCCCAATTTCCAAAATTTGGCCAACTAAACAAGGCCTAAGTGTTTCTAAGGTACGTTGCAGGCTTTTGTTTAAAATATTTCACCTATTTCTAGACGTATATTTGTAGACGTATGTTGCAATAGTTCTGATCTGGATGTTTCATATGCTTCGCACAAATATTGCAATAATATATTTTTAATGTTTCATCTGTTTCAGTTTTACGTTGCAGCATGTTGTTTCATGTTGCAAGTTATAAGTGTTTTATTCAAGGGTTTTATGTTGTTCTGCCGGGGCGAGTCGGGGGCCGGCAGACGGGGGGAACGTTTGGCACGGGTTGAATTGCACGCATCACTAATTTTTGTGCCACCGAAGTGGCCAAAACTTCGCTCTTTTAGACATTTTAACTGTGTGGCACGCCAAGTCAACCTTCCAGCATGGCTGGAGCATGCAAAAAGACCTCGTTGTCCCTTGTCTTATATCTTAAGCACGCTGGGCTCACTCCTCGTTTGGCGCCGCCGCCATTCTTCTTCTTCTCCACCCGTTCTTTCGCGGAGGAGGTGCGGCGTGAGGAGATCTGGCGGCACGGCCCGTGAGGTGAAAATAAGCCCGCAGAGCTTCGGCGAGACCTTGCCGCACTGTGGCGGGACGGTGGGCGGCAGCAGCGCGTCGGGAGGAGAAAGAAAGTGCGAAGAAAAAAATCAAGTGCTCACGGCGGGTAAAACACACGAGTGTTGTATAGACGGATTCAAATTATAAAAAGATCACTCCTCGTAAATTAAGATGTGCATTTATTTGAGGACCAAGGGACTTGAAGATTAAATAGATCCTTATTGGCCTCGTTCGCTTCGCTGAAAAAACAAACCAAAACACTGTTTCGGCTGATTTATTGTGAGAGAAAAATACTGTTCCAGTTGAAAAAATAAGTTGAAAAATAAGGATTATAAGAGAAGCGAACATGCCCATTTTTTTTTTTTTTTGTTGCGATGATGACGGAAAGGAAATAAGAGGCCCTGTGTTTCAAGCGCAGGCCAAAGTTTTAAGAAAACCATTCCCAAGAGATAAACTTGTAGCTTCTTGGCTACAAAGAACAACAGCGACTCAAGAAAGTGTGCTCAACAGAACAACAGAGCGAGATAAAGAAAATGTCTATGCAGCTGTCAAAGCAAACATATGTGATGCCTCCATGGGGGCTCCGGACCGAAGAGAAGTGGCCACAATACATACATACATACATACATAGACATCAAAGATCCTCACGTACGTGCGCGCTCTGATAATCAGTCGACGCACCTCTAGACTGGTTGTGGTTGGCATCGACCCGGCTGAGGCTGAGGCAGTGAGGTGGGCCTGACCCTGATGCAAAAATCCATCCCGTCCACTTTGGCTTGGCCCAGCCAGCGTCAGTCCAGTCGAGAGAGCTCTGGAACACAACACTGCACCGTACCACTCTCCAGAAACCACCACGTCCTTCTCGTCTTCCTCCCCTCCCTCGTGACCTCACCTCACCTGACCTGACCTTAATTTAAGCACGCGCCACCGCCACCATTCTCCTGCACTGACCACCGTCTCACCTCATCCCTGCTTTCTGTTTCGCTCATCATCATCATCATCAGCTACTCCGGCCGACTCGGGAGGGAGCGAGGCAACGAACACCAACAGCGATGCAGCACGCCGCGGCGGTCTCCAACAACCTTCACCCTGCCGTCGCCACCACGTCGTCCCCTGCCCCTCGTCGTGCGAGCTGGCCCAATGCTCGGACCTCGTCGTCGGTGAGGGTCCGGTCCTCCTCCTCCATGAGGAACGGCGGCGGCAATGGCTCTGCCTCCACCGATAGCCTGGACCACCTGCAGAGGGCGTCAATGGCCAGGCAGCGGCAGCAGCTGGGGAGCGCTCCAGGCCCGAGGCCTAGAAGGGTCATCCACACCACACCGTTCGGTGAGTGCGTCCGTGTCCTCGACTTCTGAGTTCTGATGATGACGATACTCCGATCCGGTAACAATTCATCACCAAATCGATTGAATTGTGTGCTTCATGGCTGATGACAGGGCTGTGGGACAGCTTCCCGGAAGCGAGGACGCTGGACCAGATGGTGCGGACCATGGAGCGCCTCATGGACGGCGACGGCGACGACGGCCGTTTCGGCATCGTCGTGCCGGCAGCAGAGGCGGCGGCGGCGGCGGCTCCCACCGCCGTGCCGCGCGCCAACAGCGGGCGGACGCCGTGGGAGGTCAGGGAGCGCGCGGGGGAGTACCTGGTCCGGTTCGACATGCCGGGGATGGCGCGGGACGACGTGCGGGTCAGCGTGCAGGACCGGACGCTCGTCGTGGTCGCCGAGAAGAAGCAGCAGCCTGCTGCTGGCAGTGGGGAGAAGCAGGGAGCGGCAGCAGGCGGATACGAGGAGGAGGAGGCGTGGCCGGCGGCGAGCTTCGGACGGTACAGGACGCGGGTGGAGCTGCCGGAGAACGTGGACGTGGAGAGGATCGCCGCGGAGGTGAGGGACGGCGTGCTGTACCTCATCATCCCCAAGCTGTCGGCGGGAGGCAAGGTCGTCAACATCCAGGTGCACTGAAGTGAAGTCACGAGCTCTGCCGCTTCTGAACTCTGAAACGGGCCAGATCAGAAATTCAGAATTCAGGACGGATGATGAGCACCTGCTGCGTGCTTCTCTCGGCTTCTGGATGGGACGAGAGCGATAGCGATCTACTACTCCACTCTTCCTCGTCTTTTCTATTTTGTTTTTGTTTGCTGGCTAGTGGCTACATATGGTGGCTTTTGGTACGTACTACAAGGTGTAGTTTCTGAGCTGTTTGGAACAAATTCCAGAATCAAAACAAGAGAATTTAATCAAAAGCTCTATCAAACGTGTGTGCACGAGAACAAGAGCCTTTTGATTCGTGATCAAAACTCACCGCGTCACACTTTGTTGAACTTTGGTTATGACGAAGCTAGACATCAATCAAACAGGCCCTAAAACCAAAAAAAAAAAAGGTGATGCCTAGTTTTATTGCTTCTAGGAAGTTCAAGTCCTATCAAAAAGGACAAACTGAGAGAAGGCAATCAAACTCCAGGCAATTCATAAGCACTTAAAGGGCAATTCATAAGCACTCAGACGGTGAAATTAGGTATTTCTTTAATGGATTTTCCAAGTCAGAGAGGCTATGTTCCATTTTTGTCTTAACAAAGCTCCGCTCTTGATCATCTCTCCCGCAGGACCCTAAACAAGATCCTTGTAAAAGTTCGTGGAACCAGATAACTCTTCCTGGGCTCTCGGCTTCCTGGTAAATAGAGTAGGGAACAGACCCCTACGTGGTTTGTACAACGAGATGGTGTTTACAACAAACTCAAACAAATTCTTGAAGAGATCTCTATCCACATTAGTTTCCGGTCACTAACAGTGACTTCTGTCTTTTCTGTATAGGGCGTCAGTGGCACCGTCGGACTGTCCGTACTCTATGGGCGGACACTCCGCCGGTGAAGTTTCCTACCCTTGCTCAAATGTGCCAACCACCAAGTGTATCATTTTATGCACATGTGTTAGCATATTTTCACAAACATTTTCAAGGGTGTTAGCACTCCACTAGATCGTAAATACATATGCAATGAGTTAGAGCATCTAGTGGCACTTTGATAACCGCATTTCGATACGAGTTTCACCCCTCTTAATAGTACGGCTGTCGATCCTAAATGCGATCACACTCACTAAGTGTCTCGTGGCTCATACAATTTATACCTTTGCATTGAGCCTTTTGTTTTTCTCTTTCTTCTTTTCAAGTCCAAGCACTTGTGCATCACCATGGCATCACCATCATCATGTCATGGTCTTCATTTGCTTCACCACTTGGAATGTGCTACATATCTCATGATTACTTGATAAACTAGGTTAGTACTTAGGGTTTCATCAATTCACCAAAACCAAACTAGAGCTTCACACGGCCACAGTAGTTGTTGTTGGGGTTGCCACCGCCACGACCGCCCTTTGCCACCTGTTGGCCGAGGATTGAGAACCCCCGCCATGCATTTCCATGCGCTGTTCGAAGCTAATCAACTAAGTGTAGAGCTCGGCGACGGTGATGGGTTCAACCCTTGCTATGACCGCATAGATGACCGGGTTGAACTCAAGATCAAGGCCGGTGAGGATGTACAAAATGAGCTCCTCGTTGTGGCAGAAACGCCCAAAATAACACGCTTTCAGAGGCGCTCATCTTCCACTAGACACTAAGCACCTCGAAAGTGACCTACATCGGTAGTTCGTCGAGCACACCCCAAGAAAGAACTCAAAAATCCATATTTTTACATCCAGAATCCAATAATGAGTACGAGCTTACAATACTTAATCCATTGAATACAACAAGAGTTGGAAATTATTTATTACAATACCAGAGTTCAGAGCACGATAATTAAACAGCGGAATGAAAATAAACATCTAGCGAAAATGATACAAGGATCCGTCTGTGCCCATCAGAAGAATCCTCCACACAAGAGCAACTCCTCAAGCTGCACCTGCAACAGGGGTAAAATAAACCCTGAGTACACAATATACTCCCAAGACTTACCTGACTAGTGAGAATAGTTTTCCAACTCTCAAGGAAATGATAGGTAATATGGGTTTGCTGTTTTCTTTTTGTTTTGCGGAAAGTATTACTAATAGTTCATCCTTACAGTCAAGTTTTATTAGCAGTCATGATTACTTCATTAGCTAACCATTCTAGATAAGCAAATGTTCTACTATCAGGCAAGAGTTGAGCAATCAGAACCATTTCATCATCTTTCATCTTTCAGTTCTTACTACAATACTAGACCATAGCCAAGTCGTACTGTCTCGTAGAAATGGCGATTCGCGAACCAATGTATCCCAGCTAGGTACCCCAAAACACATGCCCCGTTTGTACCCCAGGCACAAACAAGACCAACCCATTCCACTCCTATCATAGGGTTCAGGTCCTCGTCCTAACTTGGACTCCAAGCCCCCATACTTCAGACCCGGTCTCAATATGGTGCTTAGACCTTCACCTTTCCCCGCCTCCAATCAGTCAGTCCAGAAAGAGCCGGAACCCACGACAAGAGCATAACGAACCTTCCTGCTCCCATAAGCAAGTATATGCTCAGGATAATTAGTCTGTGACCTGATTACCATCCATAGCAACGGACGATCCTTAATCGACACGAACAGAGAAAATAGTGTAACCAAGCTAAGCCCCGTTGGCCGTGGAACACAACCTGTTACACCCACCAATACCCATACCATATATCTGCCATGTCTCCATTTTTCCTTTCATCATTTTATTATGAGAGTAATAATAATCCTCTATTATGAGCAACGGTAGGTTACTCATGCTACCGATAACCTAAGCATAGCATATACTCGAATTTGCACTAGTAAGACTCTTAGGACCGGTGTATCTATGCATGTGGTTTCTATAAAATCCCTGTAACATAAATGCACAATACATTTATATACGGTGAATTATAAAATAGAGGTTATGCACCAGGGCTTGCCTTGGGCAGGCGTGGTGTCAACTGAGTCAGTCAGTGGCGGCTCCGGGACCTCCTCCTACATGAGAAATCTCCTCCTCGTACTCCTCGACGATCTCCTCGAAGTTGTGATGGCTGATGGTCACGATCTCCGCCAACTCGTTCTCTATATGAATGCGATGATGATGCAACACTTAGTATTTAGGCAACAACAACTCTTAAACTAAAAATATGCATACTAAGCTACTAAGCTAGCTCTAATGACTAAGATACTAAGCCAACTATCATCTTTATCAAGCAAAGTGTTGGGTTCAACTAACAAACACCTAGCTTTACAAATGAAGGATATATCTTTATTTCTACTAATGATTTAATGCATATTGAAACAAAGAGTATTTAACTACCCTAATGCTTAGTCTATTCTAAAGCTACAAAAAATTACAGTGAGCACATAATAATACAATGAAGCTACCATAAAAATTTCAGGACTAAAGCTATCACCAATTTGCATGAAAATTCCTACAATGATTTATTTTAATAATATGAAGCACTTTCAAACGATTTAATAGCTCATGGTATCAATATGTATATATATGAACTAAATACACTAACAGATAGATCATAATTTTAGAAACTTAACAAAATTTGTTTCACAATTTTTGGACACCTACATGATTTTATATTAATTATCAAAGATCAGCTCAAAAATTAAATTAGAAAACCATTCACATATTCGTAGAAAAAGAAAAACCAATCTCCCGCGCGGCCCATGCGACGCGGCACGCGCGCACGTAGTGGCCCGCTTCCGCGGCCCACGCGAGGCCGGCCCACGGCGGAGAAGCCCGCACACGCTGGCGCTTTTGTAGAAACACCCCCACGCTATCCTCTATTGACACGACAACAATGCGCACTATTTCTACATACAACGTTTATGTAAGAAGGCCCTTGTATTAACCCGTCTTCGCATCGGGGAGGGTCCCCGACGCCTCTGCGCTCGTTGGTGCGGCATTGACCGGCACTGGGCCGCTACGTCAGCCAACTGGGGACTCACTCGACCCATCTAGAGGACCGATGCTCATCTACGGGCCAACGCGCAACAATGGGCAGCGATTTGGAGACCGGAAACGAAGTAGGGCGACTTCTCCAGGTCGACGGGCAACCTGCGGTGGCGACGACAACGTTCCAGTGTGCCACGGCACTAAGGGAGCAGTAGAGGTAGCGGCTGAGCATTAGCGACTCACAAAGGACCCGGCCGAGGCGATGGTTTGGTCGGAGACGCCTCGAGCAAGGCTAGCTACGTACGCACGGCGAGCTCGGTGATGAGCCATGGCGAACATGACCACGTCAGCAGCATTGGAATAGCAGTAGGGGTACGGCTCAGGTGCACATGGCGAGGAGGTGTTCGAGATGAGTCTAGCTGTGCAACCAATTTGGCCCGAGGTGGTTAGATGGAAGCTGCCCTCGATGATGGGAGGACTCGGCCTTATCGGTACGGTGGCAGGGAAAAGCTCCCAAATTGAAGCTCGACCGGACGCCATTCAAGGTGAGGTGGGGGCGGGTAGCTAGGCAGCTAGGTGACGGAGCCAGCGACGTGACGAATCGGACGATGGTGACTTCTCCCTGCTTGTTTTAATGGCGCGGCTTAGTCCACCATGGCAGCAGCGAAGAGAGAGGGGAGGGGGTAGGTCAGAGCTTAGCTCATCCTCGCCTTGGCGGGACACGAGCGGCGCGATTAGGACGCACACGCGCTAGCGCTACGGACAAGGTGTGCGCGCGTCCGCGACCGACATGGCACGAGCGACTGCCGTGCCTTTATGGGCGAGGTGACAGCAGGTACGGCCATGTGCCGATGCCACGGATATGCCAAGCGTGTGCAGCATCGCAGGGCCACCGGTAGGGGCGGACAGGGGTGCAGAGCCGCAGGGGGGTGCGTATGCGACAGTGAAGTGACGGCAGCGTAGCGCGGCCGTGGCGGCACCAATGGCGGCAGCGCGAGGCAGGGCAGCAGACGTGGGGCTAGCGGCTCGCTACGGCCGGCCTCGGCCAAGCCCAGGCGGGCTCGACCGACCCAGCGTGGTGGCATGGGGTGAACACGTGGGACGTGGCCATGTGCGCTGCGTGGGGTGGCCGCGCAGTGACCGCGCGCACGGCGCCAACCATCCTGAGGTTGTGTCATGCACGAATTTTAAAGCACCAGTAAAAACTAAACGAATGATCTTGGAACCAAGCCACCTTCACCATGCTCAAGAGAGCATATTAGGCTACCCCTAAGAACTAAAACATAGTACTAATCTTTAACTAGGTTTCTCAGAATAAATTCACAAACCCGTTGCGGTCAAACTGTTTTTAAACTTAAGAATTTTCTGTCTTTAAGCTAGTTTTGATTTCAAGTTCTATTTCTAAGCTACTGGAAACACTAGCTAGCAATGTTTTTTTTCTACAGCAAGTATTTTATTGTCATCTACAAAGTTTATACTCTAAACTTTAGTTAAGTGCCACATATATGTTCTATAGTATCTTTGTTCAATAAAAATTGGTTTTAAATCCTACTTGATATACATGAGTTGTATAATAGCTTCTCATTTAACATTTTTATTGATCATTTTAGGTTGCAATACTTCATCTATTTATTCCATCACATGCATTATCACGTAGTAATTTGTTTAGGACGTAACATCGAGGGTGTTACACTCGTCCTCTAGCTTGCGGCCTGCCGATGCCATCTCGTCGGCGAGGCCCTTCATCTTCGTGCAGTAGTCAGCGATGGACGACGTCCCCTTGGATGCTGTGGCGAGTGCCATGCGTGTGATGATGACGCGCGCACGAGACTGCGAAGCATGCAATCCTTGAATTGCAGCCCAAAGCTCGGCCGCAGTCTGCGCCGATGACACCTGGGCAAAGATCTCCTTAGAGAGCGATGAAAACAGGTAGCTAAGGATCTGCTGGTCCTGTGCCACCCATTTCTCGTAGTCAAGGTTGGGCAGCGGATCGACCTTCTTGTTCGTCTTGTCGCCAGTCGAAGCAGCATCGAGAAACTCTGATGGCGGCTTCACTGTGGGCTTAATGAACCCGATGAGTTGAGCTCCCTTCAAGGCAGAGTGAACTTGGGCATGCCACATCCCATAGTTCTCGCGGGTGAGCTTCTCCGTCATGACGAGGAGAAGACCGAAGGAGAGCGATGCAGCAGCAGCGGAGGATTGAGCCATGGATCAAATCCGTGAGGAAAGAGGCTCTAGATACCATGTAAAAGTATGTGGAACGAGATAACCCTTCCTGGGCACTCGGCTTCGTGTTAAATAGAGTAGGGAATAGCCCCCTACGTGGCTTGTACAACAAGATGATGTTTACAACAAACTCAAACAAACTCTTGAAGAGATCTCTATCCTATATGCATGTACACCGATGCCTCCTCAACAACCTAAAGTCGGCGCCTATACAATGAACCTAGACGGCTCTATCAGATGAACATATCATCTAACAATCCTTACTTTATTTTTGGTCCTAGAGAAAAAAAAACTTAATCCAACGATGCCTCAACTCAAGTTTCTATTTATGTAGACCTCCAAGTCTCCCCATCCACATCTCTTACAGGTGCGTAAGGAAGCCCTTACTATTTCTCGGAATTTTTTTCGCGTCAACTTAGTGTTGTAGGTCTTTTTTTCGTCCCAACTCTCTTTCGCGTCGCCGCCTTATTCCCCTCTCGGCGTGGCTTTGCGGCGATGCCCTCAGCCCGCCGCGAGTCTCCTCCAAGGCGCTTGTCTCGTCCCTAGTGAGGCCCCATTTAACTGTCTCTTCTTATCCTAGCCAGTCACTCAACCCTACCGTCCCATCTTCAATGCTCGTGCTTGGGCCCATCGCGCTCCCGCAGCCCAGTCCATTGCAATGATGGTGGACATGGCCGAATGACGAGCGGAGTGGGCCTCATGTGACAGTGCCATGGGCTATTGAAATGATGATTTTAAGGTTCGAGGGCTTCTATTGTAGTAGATAAAAAAAATAAACCCTTGAAAGCAAGAGGATAGAGGAAAGGGGTCATTTTTTCAAGCTTCTTGCATATCTGACGTTACAATTATGTCATCCTTCGTCTTCCAAATTTGTCATGCATATCATTCCTTTTTTCACGTATATAGTAAGTCACACAAAAGTCACTTAAGTGATTTTTTTGTATTTTAATTATTACGTTACAACAAAATAAAGTTACAATAAATTAATTTTAAGGATCACTTTTTTTTTCCTTTTCATGGTGTAGAAAGAAGTGTGTGTCTATATCTGGTTCATCTCCCACCTCCAACCTCCTCTTCTTCACTCTTCACGTGTCTCCTGCGATTCCTCTCTATTCATTGCGGAGAGAGCTTGAGACTCCCAACACCCACACTGGATCCACCCATAGTGACACTCTCCCAACCTTCCATGCCTCAAATACTTGCTCGTCCACATTCCATAGATCAACAAATACTGATCGGTCAGCAAGAACGGCTGTGTTCGCTGCAGCTACCCTACAACAGTCGTGACTGTTTGCATGGCAATAGCACTGGAAATTGTGAAAAGACTGCTGGGGAAATCACATAATCCTAGCTTGATTCTCGTTAGCACAGAGACTCAGCCACTACTGGATTATACTAGCAAGAGGATTTTAGGTATCGCGAGTGTGTCACCGAACCATACCGCACGATTCCAAACAGGACTAAAATTAAGAAGAGAACCAATAATGCAACACTTACCTTTATCTTGATTCAGCACCGGGGCGAAACCAGAAAGTTGATTTTTTGAATGTCACAGGGGCTAAGAGTGTTAAATTTTCAAAATATATTTGTCTCAGTTGGTTTCAGCTCACTACTCAAACTTATGATCAGTTGACTGACACTTTTTAGTTGGCTACTGTTTTTTTTTAGAAATTGTCTTTCACCGATCGGAAAAATCATTTGTATTTTTTGGTTTTGTTTGTTGTTCGTACTGATTGGTTCCATGTGCACGTGACCTGTTTTGATTGGTTGAAAAAAATGACTGAAACACAAACAGAAATCAGTCGAATCACTTTTGGTTCCATGTGCAACTGTCCTATTCTGACTGGTTGGAAAAAAAATCGGCCGTAACACAAACAAAAATCAGTCGATTGATGCCTAGTCACTGAGAATCAGTGAAATTTCCACATTCGTAGGGGTAAGGATGGCAACGGATCAGGTTTGGGGCGGATATCTGCGGGTTTTGGGTTCTGCGGATTCGGATTTAGGACTGATTTTTCACCTATGGTTTTTGGGTTCGGGGCCCCGAAACCATTCGGGTTCGGTTTCGGGTTTGGTTTTCCACCCGTGGATATCCAATGGATATCCGAAATAAATCATTTGGAATTAAAACTCATGTTTTATAATATACTAATAATAATTTGTTTACTTAGATTATTAAATTTATTTAAAGTTGACTCATGAAAATATTTATTATTTGTTGCCTCTTGTTTATACATGTGAATATGTGTATATATATCCGTAGGTTTCGGGTATCCATTCGGGTTTTGGGTATCCGTTCGGGTTTTGGGTATCCACGGGTTTGGTTTTGGTGATAAATTTCTATCCGAATCGGTTTTTGGGACGGATTCGGACTTCAATTTCGGATTTCAATTTTAGGTGCACACAGACTCCACCCGATCCGAATATCCGAGCCCAGCACGAGACGCAAGCAAAGCCCACATAGCATCTCTCTCTTTCTCGCACGCACGCCCCAGAGCGCAAAACCCCCAACCCCACCTTCCCGTCCCCGTCGCAATCGCAACCCCCGCCGGGCGCTACCTAGGTCACGCCACACGCCACCTCTCGCCCGGCTCCAACGATGTCGGCGCCCTCCGACGCCGCACCGGCAGTATCCGCGCCCGCGCCCACGACCACCGCCGCCGCCTCCAGTGGCGGGTTCACCTTCAAGCTCCACCCGCTCGTCATCGTGAACGTCTCCGACCACCACACCCGCGTCAAGGCGCAGGCCGCCTGCTCCGGTGACAGCTCCTCCTCCTCGTCCGCGGCGGGGGCGGGGGCGGGGGCCGGGCAGCCGCCGAGGGTGTTCGGGTGCGTGATCGGGGTGCAGCGCGGTCGGACCGTGGAGATCTTCAACAGCTTCGAGCTCGTGCTCGACCCCGTCTCAGGCACCCTCGACCGCGCCTTCCTCGAGAAGAAGCAGGAGCTCTGTAAGCTCCTACTCGAATCTGGGGATTTTTTTTAGGGTTTCACGACGCCTGGAATCGTAGGGAATGCTAGGGTTTTGTGGATGGTTTGATGAGTTCTTTGTTACGGCTGTGGCTGTGCAGATAAGAAGGTGTTCCCCGACTTCTACGTGCTCGGCTGGTACTCCACTGGAAGCGATGTGCACGACACCGACATGCAAATCCACAAAGCCGTGAGTTTTTACAACCTTTTCTTCAAGTCCTTGAATCTGTTATCTGTGTGACAATGTCACTTTGTGCTTGGGCATTGGTGTTTGCCCATGTTATGGAGAAAATGTGTCGGTTTCAGATTGTAATAATTCACTGTTCATTCACTTGATGATGCTAACCCTGACCTACGGTGGCACTTATGGATTCTTATTTCTACATGTTATTAGGCCTATTTAACATGCCTATTGGTTTAGTAAGTAAAACAAGCAAAAGAGACTGCTTCAATGTTTCTGGAATTTGGGAATTCTCACTGTACAAATGTAACTGGTGCTGAATCAGATGGCTAGTAATTATAGCTGCCAATAACCTCATAATGTAACACATTATGCTTCTAATAAGGTTTCTTTTGAAGTTTCATGCTTAAAAATACATAGTATACGGCAGCAAGATTAACAGCTGAAAATGTCATTGCAGTTGCATCTTTCAGAGCCTAACTTCAAGGCAGAATTAAGTAACAAGCAGTAGCTTTGGATGTTTGATAATTTTCACAATATTAAGTTTCCCTCTTCTATGCAAAAATTGCTTACCTTCTGTACAGAAAAACCATATGTTACTTACCTCTATAGAGCTTCACCTGAGTTCGTGTGACTGAATGGAACGATGGCTATACGATTTTGGCTTGAGAGGAGAGTTGAGGAATTGCCTGCCAGCATAGACATTTGTTTGATCTGTGATGTATATATTCATCTGACTCTGCATAACCTTCTTTTATTTGTATTATCCAGTTGATGGATGTTAACGAAAGCCCTGTTTATCTTCTATTAAATCCTACAATCAACCTCTCCCAGAAGGATCTCCCTGTGACTATCTATGAGAGTGGTAAGTCAATATGGATTTAAGTTTGGAATCATTAATGTATTGCAACTTGTTTCTCCTGTGTTTGGTTCTAACCTGAACCTGTTTATGCAACTTCAATGATTTATATGTGCTTTTGACTATTAGCGCTTGATTTTGTGTGTACATAGGTTTTGGTTATGCACGCATGTTGCTCTGAATCTTGATCAGTCTTAGATTGCCAAGTCGCATTGCCATACTAGTTATCATATTGCTCTTTAAATTCAGGGTTCAGAGCAAGAAAGGATATTTATGAATTTATGAAGTTTGGTGCTGCTGTATTAATAAGTTTAAACTTTTTTTTTTTTCGTGTCGACACATTTCCTTTTTATGTAAAAATGTAAATGCTCAATTTTTAATTTTGTATCAGGCAACCCCTAAAGTTTATTTCCAGGTGCCAATATTAACTACATAAGCCATTAGGTTCTACCATGTGTACAAGTATAACGTGAATAGCCCCTGAACTGTTCCACTTGTATACTTAACCAGAGAGTTTTATCAATGTTTTCTTGTCACGCTCTCACTTTGTTTTTCTGTCAAATTGTCTGCTAATTGCTTCTTTATTTTCTGTAATTTGAAGAGTTGCATGTCATCGATGGGAGTCCTCAGCTCATCTTTGTCAGATCAAATTATACAATTGAGGTAAGTGTTACCCCTTGTGCGTCTAGCTATATATGATTTTTTTTAACATTAGTATGCTTGATCAAAGACTGTAGAGGCTGAGAGGATTTCTGTGGACCATGTTGCCCATCTCAAACCTTCTGATGGTGGCTCAGCAGCAACTCAGTGTAAGGATTATACTTTGAAGACCTCTCATCAGACAAAGCCCTGGGGGGTGGCTTCCCTGTGGCTTTGCTTTCTCAACATTATTAGTCATACTATCTGAGGTATTTTTCTGGACAGAATTGTACTAATCGATGCTTTTGTGCAGTGGCTGCTCATCTTACAGGAATACACAGTGCCATCAAGATGCTCAATAGCAGGGTCCGTGTTATCCATCAGTATCTTGTTGCCATGCAAAAAGGTCCGTACATATATGAAGTGCTACATTGCATTATCTCTCGCTACTGAGATAATGCTCTATCGTGCTTGTTCTCCAAAACATGCTTCCATTCTTATTTAAACATAAAAACCTTTAGAACTTTAATTTCCCATATACTTGTTAATCACCCTGTTGGACTTTTTTGACTTGAGAAATTTAACTGCAAAGCCTTTTCTTCAACTGCAGGTGACATTCCAGTGGATAACTCGCTGCTTAGGCAAGTCTCAAGCCTCGTAAGAAGGCTACCAGCTATGGAGTCACAGAAATTCCAAGACGACTTCTTAATGGTATGCTAGTTTCATTCCTCATCTTAGGCAAAGTGCTTTCTCTTTTGATATGAAGAATACATTATTTGAATTGTCAGCTATGTTGCCAGTAAAGATCGCTTTTCTGTAATTTTCTCAACGTTGCATAGTTAATGTATGTGTAATAATGATGATGACATTCATTGTTTCCAGGAATACAACGACACTCTCCTCATGACTTACCTGGCAATGTTCACCAACTGTTCAAGGTTTGTACTCACCTCTTTCACAGATGAAGTTCCTTATTCTTCTATACCTTATATTGTTCTTTGTTGGAAATTTCACTTGTGTTGATTTCAACTTTATAATTTGCAGCACAATGAACGAGTTGGTCGAGAAGATCAACACAAGCTACGAGAGACCGACTACCAGGAGAGGAGGCCGAGGTGCTTTCATGTAGCTTACCTGCTGTGATCCTGCTGCGGCTTTCATCTGTGGAGATTTTTTGGAAAAAATAGCTTATGTTCCCGAGGCATTTTTTTTGGCATCTATTATGTGCAATCGGCTATACGGCAGCTCTCGAGTCACTACAAACTTTCTAGGCAAAAAATGATGATTTGCTCGAACTGTATCAAATCCCACTTGTGCTGAAGTTGGTCTGTAAAGTTTCTCTCCCTAGTTATTCTAGCCCCGTTCGCTTCGCTGAAAAAACAAGCTGAAATACTGTTCTGGCTGATTTGTTGTGAGAGGAAAACACTGTTTTGGCTGAAAAAACTCAAGCTGAAAAAGACGGAGTTTGCGTCACGCTCACGGTCAAAAAAACTTTGAAATCATTTGTTACGCTGCTTGATGTAACGTTATGATCGATGGGCACGGCAGAACGCAGCTGACCCGATCCTATTGGCAGGATTATATATTCTTTGAAGATTAGAAGATACATCTCAATATTCAGAACAAGACAAGAAATTAGCTGTGATGTAATCATCCACTCTTCCTACTGAGGGCTTACTTCATAAATCATCATCAAAATAAGAAAAGAAAAGGTACCATAGAATCCTGAAGAAATTGTCCAAAAGAAAACGCACCATAGAATAGTTCTTTGACACAAGGAACCATAGAGCACAAATGGTACATGTTTAATCAAAGGTAAAATAGGGCATTACAGTATCAACTCAAATGGCAATAACAATACATACTGAAGAAAACGAATGTTGGGTTGACACTTCTACTGCAACCCATGTCGCAGCCTCACAGGCGCTGCCACAGATGGGTTAATCCTGCACATCTACTGAAGAAAACGAATGTCTGTTGCCACACATGGGTTAATCCTGCACATCAACTGAAGAAAACGAATGGCTGGATGACACTTGTTCCTGCAGCCGATGTCGCAGGCATTGCAGCACATCTACTGAAGAAAACGAATGTCTGGATGGGACTTGTTCCTGCAGCCCATGTCGCAGGCGTTGCAGCAGATGGTTAATCCAGGCTTTCGCTCCAGAACCTCCGCAACTGTCGGGCTGCAGCCACGACGTTGTGCCACATTCTTACCGACGCCAAGCCACCGCAGCCCTCGGAACTGTGGTGGCTCAAAGTGTCTCAGGAAGTTTCGAGACAGCTTACTGCAGTAGGCAAGATCAAGCATTCTCAGGGAACATTTACTGGAGTCGCATCCCATAGAACCTAGCACTTCGAGAGACGAATCAGTTATGAGGAGGCAGTTCCGCAGACACAGGCTGCTTATCTGCTCACAGTTCCTGGCAATCACTGTCACAGCCCGACATGATATTCTTGGTACATTCCCGATGTCAAGCGAAATTAATGTTTTGTTGATGGTGCCAGTCCCGCACAACAGTGAAGCTATTCCATTACTGCCGATCCTTCTGCACCCTCTCAAGCACAAAGAAGATATCAGGCACCTCCCATTACCGAGTGCTGATAAACCCGCATCAGTAATGTCAGCTCCAGCAAGATCCAGTAGAGTTAGGTTGGGGAGCTTTGAGATGGAAACCAAGCCAGAGTCTGCAATGCTCTTGCAACCCGAGAGATCGAGAACCCTCAAGTTAGTGCAGGGTGCTAGAGATTTGGCGGTATCACTAGTTAGGAGAGCACAGTTAAGCAACCTCACTTCTGAAATGTTTGGAGCTGCCTTTTCAAGATCTAGGCATGCCAAGTCTGACAAGCACGAGCCGTTGCTGACCTCAAACTTCTTCAGGTCCTTCCCAGAGTGGAGAAGGGCTGCATACCCTGCATCACTTACTTTAGAGAACCCACCAAATCTAATGGTTCTGAGTTGCTTGCATCCGTCAGCGAGCATCAGTATCCCAAAGTCGTTTACCCCGTCTGAAGTCGCAGCAACGACGTGTCAGAGACAAATGTCTCAAGTTGTGGCATAAGCCAAGTGCTTGAAGCCCAACATTGGTCAAATCTTCAGGCAAATTTGGTTGGGTAACAGGTTCATCTTCCAGGCACAGCTCAACCAACTTGTGGACATTACTGGTGATCAACATAACGAGTTCATCCGTTATTGTGTCGAGAACTAAAGAGAGTGATTCCAAACTGTCAGTGATGTGTTTGTTCAGAGATGTGGTTTTCAGGAAGACTGTCTTTGCCCTAGAATGAGATACAGGCTGTAGCAACAGGTCCTTGATGTTACTAGGAATGAGAGGCAATCCGGTTCCAGTCTCGTATTCAGCTGTGCGTGGATCTAGCAGAGGGAACTTCACCCAAAGAGTCTGTATTGAATATTGAAAAAAAGACTGCTCAGAGCAAGCAAGCAAATTAACTGAACTTTTTCTAAAAGCTCCATAACATTATTCAAAGGCTACGGTTAATCTTATGTAATTCTGTGCATGCTTGGAAATCGAAAGACAATGAAAGCAAACAAATCTTCGAATATGCAATATTGCTACAAAGTGGCATGTTTTTAGCGAGGAAGAATATCATATTCGTAAATTGTACCAGAAAAATCTCTCACCTCCAAGTAAACACATCCCGTGTAGATAGGTGCTAGGCAAGTACCGAATCCAGAATAACGAGAATATAGAATGTCCGGAGCAACCGCCATCTCCAGCTTCAACGATCTGAATTTTTCAAATTCAGGTTAAAGGATGATTGGACTTCTCAATCACTATGACTTGAAAGCAATCTCCCAAATTCCAGATCATTAATTGCATAATCCAATTTCATTTTGGCAAATGACGAGAATAAACAGGAATGTGCATAGTTCCAGACGCAATCTTCTGAAGCAATTTTACATTCGCGTGCATATACGAAGGCATGAACAATACAGTGCTGAAGAACCGCACCTTAAATTGCGGCATCCTGCGCCAACAGCCACAAAGAAGCTCATGGAGAAGGAGCACTTGAGCAGCGAGAGCTCGCGCAGGCTACCCCTGGCGATGACGGAGGCGGCGGAGTCGTCGAGGAGGCTGCAATTGACGGTGAGGATGCGGACCGCGCCGTTCCCCGCGAGAATCCTGCCTAGGATGGCGTTCGACGGGGCAAAGGCCTGCAGCGGGCGAGCGACCGAACCGAAGCCCCAGGGGGTTAGTGGAGGAAGGTAAGGAAGAAGGGGGAAACGGAGGGGAGGGGAGGGTGAAGCTCACGGAGAGGTCGATGGCGGTGACGGCGGAGAGGGCGGCGTTGGCGGCGGCGTGGAGCGAGCGGCAGGACGCGGCGGCGGAGCAGGCGTCGTCGAGGTCGAGACGGCCCAGCACCTCCACCAGGAGCGCCTCGGGGAGCCTCTCGACCAGGCCGCCACCCCCGCCGCCGCTGCTCTCTGCGGTGCCGGAGGGCTCGCCGTTGCAGCCGTCTCCGTCGCCGTCGCCGGCGGTCCGGGGCTTCTTCTCCGCTACTGTGTCCTCCATCCCCTTCGCTTCTGAGCCGGGCTGGCCCCGCCGCCTGCAGCAGAGAGCGTGGACTCTGGATTGAGAAGTGCACAGATTTGCAGGGGGGAGGAGGAGGAGGAGGAACGGGAGGATATGCCGCTGACACCCAGGGACCACACGAGCACGGTGTTTGGATGCCTGGTCTATGAGAAAACTGCGTCCATGACATGTGGGCCCCTTTTACAGTCACCGACGGTGGTTTATCAAGGATTTCGGTAGCGTATAAGGAATCGTTCCTTATCATATTTGACATTAATAGGAACGTCCAATCCGCGCGCCTTTTAGAATTTAAATTCTTTCAATTCTAGCCGTGCTAAGTTTTTGAGCCATCATGTGGTAGATATATAAGATAGGTTTCGTACTTGGTAGAGAAAGGATGCGCGTTAGGTACAAAAAAAAAAAATTACTGACAAATAAAAGTGCTTTTTATTATTGTCCTGTTCGCTTGGCTGATAAGCCATGACTGAAAGTATTGTTAGCTGATTTATTATGAGAGAAAAATACTGTTCGTTGGCTGAACAAGTACGGCTTATAAATCAAGCGAAATGCTCCGTTACTTCATCAGTACTCAACAGTTGCTATGTTTTGAAGCGTCTTATGTTTATTTCTTTTTAACACAAAAAATCTGTTCAATAGATTTTTTTTAAAAATAGTCCACATGATACAGGTATTTCTTCAGCTCTTAAAGTCTCTGTGATCATTTTTTGCTACACGGGAAGGTATCATGTAGAATTGTACCTTATAGTAGCATCTGTTAAGCAGATGAACAATTGCTATTTGAGGAGTCCAAAAAGATTATCAAGACAGTATTCAAGAACCCCCTCAATCTTGTTTATTTAAACTTGGCAGCAGAAAACAAAAGAATATCCACAACAGCTTTACACTACATATGGTGGAACTTACATCAGAACTTCCCTATCAAGCTGTCAACGCATCTTCCAGTAACCCCATGAAACATGCCCTTGAAGACCTCCATTTCATTATCTTCCCTATCAATATGAAGTTTTCTCCCGGTAACTAACTTCATTACCTCCTCAAATTCATATTCTTTTCAAATCTCTGTGAGGTCATTAACGGTTAGTTAATAGTCACCATGCTCGCTTGATCGTTTTTATGGCTTATAAGCCGGCTGATGCTGTTTTGTTGTGAAAGAAAAACACTGTATCATGGCTGATAAGCATGACTGATACGATCAAGTGAACAGGCTGAGTAACTACACTTGGAAAAGAAAAGGTGTTCTCCTGTTCTCCATGCTGTCCTTGCACAATCTGAATGCAAAACTAAAGTCCTTCACATTGTTCTCCAGCTTGCGTCGCCAAAAACCACCTTGGTCATCTCATGCTCACCCATAACCATAATGAAGAAACCCAAAACGTGTACTGGCAGTCAAAGTTCTGTTGCAGATGGAGATGAACAAGGAAGAGTATCAAAGTTTTATGAGCAGTGAGTGTAAATGTGACCAAATATGCTGAGAAGTGATGTTATGAAATACCTCAATTTCCACAAAGTATCAATTACACCAGTTTTCTTTTCTCATGCCTCAGGACATACATTAGTTCTGAATCCTGCTGCTAACATAGAAGTATTTGAAAACTAATGCAACTATCATAAAAGCTCACAAAAAAAATAATTCAAATGACCGTCTCATGCGCCTTCTTACTGGTATCAAAAGAATCATCAATCCTAAATTAAACTTTTATATCGCTGAGTTTGCAGAACTAAAAGGGAAAAGAGATAATAAGATGGAAAAAGCTGCATGAAATGCTTCTATTTAACTTGACTGAAAACAAAATTATAAAGGAAAGACAGTTACATGTGGCGGATTTACAGCTGAATTTCTTTCCAGACGTCAACTTATATTCCGGTCAATTTCTTTGAAGACCATCATTTTCATCATCTGAATACATAGGTTTTCTCCCAGTAACCAACTCCGTTATCTCTCCCAGTTAATAGTATCGACACTGGGAAACCAGTTCTTCTCCAAGCTATCCTTGCACAACCTGAATGCCAAATAACAGTCCCTTCCCAATTCCCATCGTTTCCAGGATCCATGTGTCTCATAATTGGTTTCAAGATCAGTGAAAAACATCTAGGATTTTAAGACTAGCACTATTGTAATGTTTTAAAAGTAGGATTTCATATAGATAGTCTAGGTTTATTCACTGATATTTCACATTTTTCACGGAATACAGGATTCTCTCTGAGATTACTCATGTGAAACCTTATTACAACAACAACAACAACAATAACAAAGACTTTAAGTCCCAAACAAGTTGGGGTAGGCTAGAGTTGAAACCCATCAGAAGCAATCAAGGTTCAGGCACGTGAATAGCTGTTTTCCAGGCACCCCTATCTAAGGCTAAGTCTTTGGGTATATTCCATCCTTTCAAGTCTCCTTTTATTGCCTCTACTCGTGTGAAACCCTCTAACAATATTTTAAAAATAATGTAGCAGACACTACAACTTAAAGCTACATGGTTATCAACAGGTGGAAGGGGGTAAAAGAGCTGTCCACATATTAGCAAAAGTATGATAAAATGTACAGTGAAGGGCGGGCCTGGTACAAGCGGTAGAGTCTTATCGCCTGTGACCGGAAGGTCCCGGGTTCGAGTCACGGTCTCCTCGCATTGCACAAGCGAGGGTAAGGCTTGCCACTTACACCATTCCCCAGACCCCGCACAGAGCGGGAGCTCTCTGCACTGGGTACGCCCTTTATGATAAAATGTACAGTGTAGATTTAAAATTATTGATGACTGAATGATAAGTGCTATGTGCCTATGTCGTATTTTAACCAACAAAAATAATCAGAAGAATAATCTTGATGTATAATTGTAAAGGTCATGTGCATCATTTCAATCATGTTAAGAATCACAACGTTTCAATCATATCGCATACCCTAGGTGCAAAATTTTCACAGATCTAAGAGATAATAAATTATCCTAGTCACATTAGTTTGTTTTACTTTTAGACATGCACATTATTAACTAATCATCCGAACTGATGCATCATAGAGGTGTATGCATCAAGTAGCATGCAATGTTAGTTACTTTTTAGTCAATCAGTGATGACTGATGAATAGCAAGTAGTAACTCTGGTAACTGAAAACTGTTATTGATCAGTCATAAATTTGAACATTGTTGTCAAGGAAGTTAGTATTTTTAACAAGAAACATGCAGCACAGATTTGAAAAGCTGTGTAACTATCATATGGCTCCTACAAAAAATGGAAATAAATCCAGTTGATTTTGTTTTGGTTTGTTTCCTATGCCTTTTCATCAATGTCAAAAGAATCATCAATCTTAGGGTAGGGAAACTTTGAGGCACAATTAAAATATTTCTTGTTCTTAACAAGTAGACAATACTATCTTGGTAATGGAAAAATAAAAAATGATAACAAGATCAAATTTTCCCAAACATAGGTTTGTATACTGCACAGAATACTTCATCAACACTGATACCAAAGATGAAGATGGCGTACCTGCCCTTATAAGGGGCTCCGAGCAACGACTTTATATGGAATCAAGTTTGTTTCTTCTTGATTACAACTGGAACGCCTCTCACGTTAAGTAGGTGCAGCTAAATATCAAACTCTTATTTTTCTCCAACTAAAAGTATAAAACAAAGTCTGGACCCTAACTGAATTGAACAAACCATGACTGAACTGATAATACTCCTGAACAAACTCTATCCTAAACACTTGTGGAGACCACTGATTCCTTCTTCCTGCCATGCTCATATGTTTTCCCGATGAATGCTCCAACAACACATTCTTATGTAGTTATGTTGAATTATTACGATCCCAACCTTTTTATAAAACTCCTGAACATTAGCTAACGAAAAGTACAAAACAGAACCTTCAGCTCTTAAAGTCCTTGTCATCCGTGATACTTGAATTTTTATCTTTCTATAACTTATACTAACTTTTAAGGACCTGAAAAATTGTTGTCTGAGGAGCTTGACAGGATGGTTCAATATTTGAAACCCTTTGATCAACCTCATTTCAACTTGCCTATGAAAACAAAGTGATGAAAGAATGTCAACAACAGCCTTACAGTTACAAGTGGTGGATTTACAGCAAAACTTCCTATCCAGACATCAACTTATCTTCCAGTCTTCCTATGAGATAATATGTCTTTGAAGACCTTCATTTCACCATCTGAATACGAAGGTTTTCTCCCAGTAACCAACTTCATTATCTCTCTCGCATTCCTATCCTTTGAGATAGCCATGAGGCCCTTCAACAGTTGGTTAATAGTATCGACACTCGGAAACCAATTTTTCTCCATGCTATCCTTGCACAACCTGAATGCGAAATCAAAGTCCCTTCTCTCACAGAGGTAATGGACCATTGTCTGGTAAACCTTACTGTTTGGCTTGCATCCCCTCCCATGCATCGCGCCAAAGACTGTCTTGGCCATCTCATGCTCACCCATTATGAAGAAACCCTTGATAATTAGATTGTATGTGATCTCATCTGGTTTGATCCCCGCTGCATACATTTTCCGCACCAACTCATTTGCCTGCCACCCCCTTCCCCTGTTAATCAGGAACTGGATCCTCACATTGTAGGTAGCAAGTGTCGGGTCACAACCCCTCAGCCTCATGAGGTTCCACAAACCATCTCCAACCTCGCGCCGGCCACACTTATAGAACGCAGCCATGAGCGTCGTGTACGTGACGACATCCGGTCGCACACCAGCCCCATCCATCTCCTGCATAACCCTGTAGGCCGCAAGCAAGTCCCCCATGTCACAGTACATCTTGATCACCGTATTACACGAGATGTCGTCCAGCTCAACGCCGTACTTCTCCGGCCCCTCCTCAAACAGACACAGAGCCTCATCAAACATCCGTGCTCGCAGCAGCACCTTCATGGTGGCATTGAGCGACTTGGCGGTGCGCGGGCACCCGTACATACCCATCTCCTGGAAAGTCCGCAGCGCGTGACCCGGCATCCCGGCCTTCCCGTACAGGCCGATG